CTTTTTTTTGCTCTCTCTCGCGTTCTCATTAGGATTTGCCTAGGATAGCGTTCTAGATTGGACGAATTGAAATTTATGTCACTGTATTTGTGTTATCCAAGTATTGTTGCTCAGACCCTTTTTCAATGCCTCCCCAACCTCATGGGTCCCAACAATTGTTACAGTGCTTGCCCTGATCATAGAACAATATCCAATTAATGTAAAGGTATCATAGTCTATATTTTTCTCTTGGATGCAATATTTGAAAATTTTGAAAGGCTTTCCTCACACGATGTAGCAGTGTGTAGCGGGTGAGCAGCACGTGACCTTCCCTACAGGGACGAGCTTACAGCGCAGTGAGAATTTTATACTTCCCATGGATTGAGTGAAAAGACAGCATAAAATCCTTATGTTTTGCCTGTTTTATCGTGTTTAAGACGCATTTGTTGACCTCTTCCACTCTACGATTGCTACCTAGTCCACTCATCTACGCCGTGAGACATAAAGGCACCTTCCGAGAATTGTTGCGTTTTATTTCACCTTTCAGGCAATCAAATTAAGGAAACCTTGAGTGTCTTGATGAATTGATGAATGCCTTCAGTCCGACATCTCTCTAGGTGAGGAACAAAGAAAAAAGCCGAAAATGTAATGTATTGAGGAGGCCTTGAGGAAACGAATGGGATTGGTTGAGAGCGGGGAAAAGAAAGTTGCGCGGTGAAGCCATCTGCCGATCTCGTCCTATTTATATCCCTGGACCCTCCAGGTCCAGGGAGAACACGGACAGACTCTTCCAGAGATCTCTCAGACCTAGACCAAAGACAACTCGAAGCCCTCTGCACTCAGTCGTCGTCTGCCAACATGACTATCGTCGGAGGTGAGCTCACGTCTTGTTTTCATAGAATTTCCATAATTCAGGGCATCAGAAATCTAGTGTCAAGGCCGATGTGAGATCAAACACAGAGTATCTCGTTGCATTCCTGAAGAGTGTTATTTGGTGAGGACTGTTTTGACCTTCGAGTCTAGACGGTGAAAAACCTCATCGGCGTTGGTCGAAACATGAACTTGATTCGTTATTTGAGGAAAGACAGTGGGAAGTTCTTCATATCCATCCCGTAAGATTAGAACTGTGAAAATCTTAACGTGGATACTTTCAATGGAATGGACAAGGAATATTTAATACGGGAGATGAGTTCCGTCCATTTCACATAACCTTCAAGAAATGTTCTTAAATTCTACGAGATAGATTCAATATTTCCAATCTCACCAAATTTGCTTGTGTCTAGAGCAAACTAGTGTATTGATCAAAATCGGAGTTTCAGTGAGATCTCATTTTGCAGTGAAGCTAAGACAGTTTATGTATCATAAGAATATGTGTATTATTTACAAAGAAAAGTCATGTTGAGCTTATCACTGATAAGCTACGTTGTTCAATGACCACTTCAGAGAAGAGAGATGATGTCGTGGACATACCACTCATAGCTAATCGTCGTGATTTCTTACATTTGCTGGAAATTTATCAATTTATTTATCCCTGCTGCCTTCCTTTCTCTTCTACTTGATGCGTCATTCAAGCTCCTGCAATATTTAGAAGCATCTCGAAATCCCATTCACATACCTTTGTCAACCCGCTCCTAGATGGTTTGTAATTCCTTTTCAGCGCACTTCCCTTTATTTGGCTTGTTTTTCTAAACGGAAAGGGAATGTATGCCTTGTACACGAATAAATCAGCGTTAAAAATTTTAGTTGAAAGGCTAGTATCTGCAGAACGTTCCCAAAAAAAAAGCCTGAATTTTTAACGTTGGCCACGTTTTCTCTTTCCTTTTGTCAGGTCGCACAGTTTTAAAAACGTTTGCATGTGGCTCCTTGAAGGAAAATTTAGAGATAAATGAATCCTTAAATATTTCACATTTCACTCTTCCTCTCCCAGCTGCTTTCGTTCTTCACCCTGGAGAAAAAGAATACAATCGGCGCTCCATATAACGAATTTTCCTTCCAACGAATTTTTTTTTACAGTTCCCGGCCGTTTTCCCTTTCACATGCATGTTGAAAAGTTTCTGTATAACGAAGTTCCGTATAACAAATTGTTCTGTTTTACGAAGTCGTTTATTCGTCAGAAGGAACGAAAATGTTCCGTATTACGATGTTAGAATCTGCTGCACATGTCAGAGCTACTTTCTTCCGCGCTTTCCTCGAAAATCTCATCTGGTATCTAAATTTAGCATGTCCTACCTACTTGTTGCCGTGGCCGTGGTAAGGGAACGACGTCAATCAGTCTTAATTTTCTCAGGATCCCAAGAATCAGGGTCAGGCCTAGTCTACATTTATGCTCGGTCGAGCAATCGAAGCCTTCGACTATCTCCGGCTATTTTTCGGTCAGGCCGAATGTTGACCATGAAACGCTTAAACATCGAGTGCTCTGCAGACCATGGCTCAAAGAATCCTCTAGGAAAGCGCGCGGCTGACGATCAGTTGGGACTTTATTTCCTTCGATTTTGACCTCGCAGGGGTTACAGTAAACAAGCAATTCAATAAAATCATAAAACATTATTGAATTCTCCTTTAACACAAAAGTCATTGTTCCTGTCAAAAAATAGCAAAATATAATGCAATTTATAAATACGGAGTGACTTTCCAAACACCATGTAGATGCTACAGATAGTTGTGCAATTATTATAATCATGATGATAAACGTTGAGCGTTTAAGTCAATAAACGCGGTCGTGAGGCAGAATATAACTCTTGTGTAGTCTTTGTGATATCTTCTGTGATATCTATTTTAGGCTCGTTTCCTCGATATTCCCATATTCACGGAAGGGACACAGTAATCATTTAACTGATAGACAAGGGTGTCTTTTCCTTTTTTTTTTCAAGATTGGCGGCTGCAAGTAAACACTGACGCATAACTGCCGCGCTCATCAGGATTCAGGTTTCTTTCCGACCCATTATCTCTTCCATGTACAACACATACAGTAGGCCTACATGCTAAGAATACACCCTCCGTAATTACATCCCCCGTGATGATGGGAAGAAGACGAATTCTCCTTTTATGCGTGGCATGAAAATGATCCCGTCTCATTTGAACGACGTACCGATTTGGATCGCACGAGCGTCGTTCAAGCTTCTATTTTTTAACGAAAAATTGATCAACATTTTGCTCGGGTCCAGCATCTCCCTGTACAAGTTATAAAAACGTTGTAAGGAACGACGAAATACACCTTGTAACGAAGTAATTTCCTTGCACCGGTTGCCAAAAACAAGCTTTTATAACGAAATCGTAAATTTGTCATGTCAATTCGATCCCATAACAAGCCGTAAATGGAGCGGGTACACGGTTTGAATTGTAGTGGGATATCTATTACCTTCACACATTGGCAGACGATCAATTAGTCACGCGCATTCGATTACTCATGCCCATGCCCGAAGCAATACTTTACAGAATGCAGAAGTATGACGATCATTTCACTCTATCAAAATTTTCTTAAGACGTTTTCTTAAAGCGAAGGAAAAACAACTCCCCCTTGAATTTCGTAATGACGAGCGTTGACTGTCTCACGTGATGTCCGCATTGCAAATCTAACTTCACCGAACCTCATCTGACGAGAGCCTGTCAAGGAAACGTCCAGTCGAAGAAGTGTCGAGTCGAAGTGGTGAAGTGTCTTTCGAAGAAGTGATATGGAACCCTTTCAGTACTTTCATCAAAATGCATTCAATCTCTAGAAAACACTGGTTCAGTGGATGGAGGTATGATTGTTCAACTTCCAATCTGACTCCAAAGGATGTCCACTGGAATTTCACATAATAAAGCATATCCTCGCCTTTAATGTGAAGCGTGAGCGGGACGTGTCAAACTTCTGAAGAGGAGATGGATTCGTGAGTAATGGAAGGTTCCACACAATAGACGTTTACAGACACGTAATTCCGGAACAAGAAATGAACTGTTGAACTGATAGGAATATGAGGGAGAGTTCTGCTCTTGTGAAGTGTGTTTGAATCTCACGTAGATGCGAATGATGATTAGGAAATCTAACTTCGTCTACAAAGGAAGGTAGTTATCCCAATCAGACTTGTTAGAGCTTAATTGGGATTGACAGAGGGGCTCGTCTGCATGATGCCTCCTGGCATGGGAGCAGGGCTGTACTTGGACATAATTAACATCTTGGAAAACGATCACTTTATCAATTAAATTATACTGTCTGTTGGATGAATCCTACAAGGAAAAGTTATTTTAACATTTTGATGCTGCTTGGGAACATACAATTCACGTCCTTGATGAACGTTCAAGGAACGCATAATTTGAATTTTAAGGATGGATTTTTGAACAGAGAAGTATCCAATAATGCAGCTTTATTTCCAGGAAATATCATGTATTTTCTCTGAAATAAAGCTGCATTATCGGATACTTCTCTGTTCAAAAATCCACCCTACATGTATGACTAAATCTTGCTCTAAATTTCGGACATGTAGACAGTCAATAGAACGTTCCCCAGGAGGGTTCATTGCACGTTGGCAGTATCTTAGATGGGACGTTCATTGAACATGCTTTGATCGTTCCGGTGCTACTTGGGAATAGTCTCCATCTTTTCAAATCCGCAAGTCCGTTCCCAATTTTTTTTTATGTATAGACGACTGTAGGGAGCTCTTCTTTCGATTCAATACTCAGATTATTCAATGGAACATTTTTAGTCCCAGACTTCGGGTCATTGGAGAGGAAATTTTGAATGCTCCTTACTTTTATGATATCCTTGTTCATCGGACATGAGAATTTCCAAGGATAAAAAAAAATCACAGTAGAGTCCACGTTAATACAAAACATGCGTGGTGAGACTGTCCGTCCAGAAAACCTCTTAGTACTTGTTAAATGTCATTTTTTCCTCCTGAAATTCCATTTTCGTAAGAAAGCGCTCTAATGATAATATCTGATTTTATGAGTACCTCGCACTTTCCATTCCAGTCACACCTTTCAATGTTGCCAATCCCCATGAAAAACCTGTTCGAGTTTGTGATTCTGAAATTGGGAAATGAATGACTCTCATAGAATCCAGTTCTACGTCGGCCTTCTACCTTCTGGCCATCTTGTTCGGAATCCTGGTATGCACGATTCCATCAGCTGAAGGGTCGGTTTATGGCACGGATGATCGAGGGGAGAAAGGAGGACAAGCACAAGGGGCAGTTATGGAGACAGAACGGATCTGCCTGTCTTATCCCGTATTCAAAGAATTGATGATGAGAGCTTTGAGTCTCAAGTCCGAAACCATTTCTTCGCAGAACGCTGCCAAGAGACCTGTCAAGAGACTATGTGAGTCGCCACTCATTCATCATATGTACACCATCATCGTGCGTTTTTGTTGACATCATCCTTATCAAAATAAGTGTCTCAAGATAAGCTCCATCCCGGCATCCAGAATCGATATTGCAACCTAGAGAAGAGCATTCATTTTATATAAAAGGAAGGAAGGACTTTTAAAGGCCCAATTCACGAACTATGCTTATAAATGTATTATTTTCCAGTGGGGATGGACCTGACAGATATGATTGCACATCAAGGAGACATGGGACAGAGATTCGAAGACCTCATCAAAATCATGGAATACAAAGGCAAGAAGTGAAAAATGGAAGAAGAATGCGAAGGAGATTTTTTTTTTCGGACTCCGTCTCTTAAATGAATTTCCCGTTTAAACCTGACGTGTCGAATAGGGCTGTTAGCATAATCGTTTGCTTTATTCGTTCAATGTATTATGACTATTGTTATTGGATGAACAATGACTATTGTTCATCCGATCATGTGGGTGCTGTTCGAAAATAAAAATTTCTCTTCCGTCAAAATCTATTATTCATTTGGAATTCGTAGGTAGTGGAGCTTTTTAACTCTGCCCGGCATTTGTCTCCATCCTGCTCTATTTTGACAGGACATCACGCTCTTATCTCTATCCAGGTAAGTGAAGAACTCTCGCTCAGGAGGAATTTGAAAACAAGATAATAAAATGTGTTAGTGTCGTAGATAAAGTGTGGCCAACTAGAGTTACACATAGCTGCCGTGTTTTTGTTCAAATGGATTAGGTCTGTGTGGAATGAAGACCGTTCCTTCTTGAGGTCTTGGAGGGTGTCGGACATCATGCATGTAATCACCATGTATCCAGTGTCTACGAGTTGACCTGACTAAATACCGCTCTAAAATGGTCAATGCAATGACAACGTGGACCTAGTAATGATTTGCTATGCATAATTCACGAGTTTGTTGAAAGAATGAAGAAAGGCATTCATTCACAGAAACCCTGACTAGTGAGTGATTCCACAGGTCTGTTTTTGTCAAAGCAGCAAACATTTCAAAGGACAAGCAAAGAATTGAAACATGAACTTTGTTTCCTCTTGCCCAAGAGGTGCGTTCTGTGATCAGTTGCATGGAGAAGACAATGAGACAATGAAGAAGAGGGGACTTCAAATACCAAATAATGCAGTCCCGGAGACTCCAGGGAAAGCCTAATATTTTATCCATACAATTCCAATGTACAGGGTGTCCCAAAAGGTATGGAAACATTTCAAAAATTAATATCTCACTAAGTTATGCCTCAAATAAAATAATGAAAACAGTAAAATGAAATGCAACTCAAACATTTTTCAACCTGTTATTGGAATTCCACATAAGCACCATTTGTGGCCCTGTAGACGTCCAAACGATGTTCAAGCTCTTACCATAACTGACTCAATGTGCCATGCATAACTGCCTGGATAGCAGCCACAATTCTGTTGTTTCAGATCAGACTGAAGATTGCTTACTCAAGAAAAGTTGACAATGTCCTTGACATAGCCCCACAAGAAAAAAAATCCAAGAGGGAATTGCACAATAAAAGTGTAATTTTCTAAGATGTTGCAACTCCACATATTAGCAAGCTAAGGCATGGGAAAAAAGCCAGATCTGTGGATTGGACAAAGTAGGTCCATTCCATGGCCACCAAGATCACTTGAACTAACCCTAGAGGACTTTTTCTTGTGGGCTATGTCAAGGACATCGCTTACTGGAGAAAAGTAGACGATCGATCAAGATCCAAAGAACAAAATCGTCCGAGCTATCCTGATAGTTATGCCTAACACTCTGCAAAAGGTGTGGTAACAGCTCAAACATCGTTTAGGCATCTACAGAATCACAAATGGTGCCCATGTGGAATTGCAATAACAGGTTGAAAAATGTTTGAGTTGCACTTCATTTTACTGTTATAATCATTTTATTTGAGGCATTATTTAGAGAGATATTAATTTTTTTAATGTTTCCATACCTTTTGGGACACTGTATTTTGAAAATTCTGGCAATCCGTCTTCATTTTTATTTCTCTCATTTCCGTTTTCACCGGGTCAATGGGATGGGAGCAAACTACCCTCTTCCCAAGAGCGTAAAAAAAAAATTTTCACATCTCGAACATTTCCTTAGAGTGTGCTGCCTGAGAAAAATGTTAAGACAGACTGTAAGCTGCTTATCTGAATAGATATTGGTGTACAAGCTAAATAAAAACGTATTGGAGCATGGAACGCTAGAAAGACTATCCCACACAGGATTTCTAGTCATCCTTGCCTGCAACATGTCATTGCCAACAGCAGCGTGCACTTCGTGGACACCTAAGACACACGCTAAAGTTGAGAATGGGAAGAAAAACAGAGTTTTACATAATACAAAGCAATATGCCCTGAAAAGGGGGACATTTCGACATTTTAAGACGATGCAGTCTTTCAAGAATGTAAAACCTTTATACAGGGTGCAGCACAGAAACTTGGACCATTTTAAATCCTTAAAAAAAAATCGTATTTTTCTTCCAATACTTCTGAGACAAAGTCTATTAAAAAGCGAAACTCAAGAAGTTTTATTAGCACTAAATATTGAACTGCCAGATTTGTTGAAATGGTGCAAATAACTGAAGAAAAATAATAATACTCATAGTTGAAGAATATCAGTAGACTAATTCCCCCATTCTTGTTGTTGCAAGACATTTCAGGCGAAAACTCCCTCGAAGAAATCCACCAACTAAGCAGTGTACAACTTCGCCAAGAAGTTTCATTATAAGGCAAATTTTAACAATCTAAACGAAGGCAATTCTGGCCTGCGAGCAAGTGTGTGTACTGTACCAAACATTTACGGTATTGAAATCGAATTCAAGAAAGCTGAAAGAATGCTTGGTGCAGTAGGCACAGACACTCACCGGCCAGAAATGCCTTTTTTTGAAAATTTTAAGACTTGTTCCATTATGAAACTTCTTAGCAGTGTTGTGCACTGATTAGTTGGTGGATTTCTTTTTGAGAATTTTTGTCTGAAATGTCTTACAACACGAAAAGGATAAGCAGTCTTTTGATTGTCTTGGACTATGAGTATTTTTTTGTTCAGTTGATTACACCATTTCAAGAAATGTGAAAAGAAAATGGCAGTGTTGATAAACTTTTTGAGCTGCACTTTTTAATAGACTTTGTCTCAGAAGTATCGGAAGAAAAATAAGAATTTTATAAGGATTTGAAATGGTCCAAGTTTTTGTGCGCCACACTGTATTAGACTAGAAAACAGATCGCCACCGGACTGACCTTTGAAACCGAACTAAGACCGGCTGGGAGGACTGATGTACATCACCTGATGGAGATTTTAACCTTTTTCAGAATTTCATTCAGCAGTAGAGACAAAGCTGAACCATTGGGGCATGTTCAAGGCTGGGGTCAATTAACAAGGTAAGATCAAGAACATTGACCTCGAACGTGACTATATTCCTCCAAATACTTGGAATTTTACATGTTCCCTGAATTTCCATTTGAGAAATGGCTGAAAGGATCTTGCTGCTAAGAGGAATGACGTGCGGGATCTCCAAACATATTCGTGATATTGTCCCCTGGATGGGACAATATCACTAATTGAATCCACAGTGAAAGTGGTACTGTCATCCAGACAAATTCCCTGTCTCCAAGGCATTAAAGTGTAACGCCGAGCTGACAATTTCAACGTTGAGAATTTCCAGAGTTAAACTATTTTATCATCACAAAAAAGGGAGTGGTGAGGCATTCTCGGCTGGAAAAGAGGAAATCGCTCGGAATCCTGAGCATAATTCAAGACAGAACTACACATGGCCCTCTCTTAATCAAAAATCCCCCACCGTCCATTGGAGGACTATCCAAATCCTCCGGGTGAACCCCATGTGGAATGACCAGATACCCATGTGGAGTAGTGTGGACTTCTGGACTGTACCACCATGGGATTCGTCCTAATGTGGATATAACAATATGCCCATGTGGACTCTATGTGGACCCTCTGGATCCACATATGATCCACATGTGCACTCATTCAAATCCTCCTGGGGGACTCCTGGAAGTCCACCTATGTGGATTTTTCGTAAGGGTCCTCCTCTTTTTAAATTCGTGTTCTAGCAAGGAAAATGAGATAGGGTCATAGGGAGGTCATGAGACGGGAGGTAAGAAGGGCCAGACAGCTATGGGCTCGGGATCTGTTGGAGCGAACGCCTTCTCCTTCTCTACCTCTACCGTTGCATTTTTTTTTGGAAAGGTATATTTATATTTTAGAACAATAGGGGAAGCGAATGGAAAACGAAGTTACAACCAATCTCAGATCTCTATATGAGAACCGAAGCCAACATATAATCGCGTAATACGTATTTTTCACTGAGTTAGACGGTTTTTCACTTGACTCAGGCACTCATGCATCAGGAACATCTAATGCACAGGTAGGGTTGCCACCCATTCATAGTTAGTATGGACAGTACATATTTCAGAGGGTGTCACAGCACAGTGATCTGGTAAACAAAGAATCATTGGACCGACAGCGCTGCATGGGCTGGTGCATTATCATGAACCTTTGTACTAATTCTTTTTCTTCAGTTTTCTGAAAGAATGGAATGGCAACTTTCGTGTGAAATGTTCACCAGCCCAGAAAAGGCATAAACTGACAATCTTTTATCTTAACAGATCAAATGTTGCACTTCATTCATTTTTTCTTCTGTGAAACTTGTGCATGCCCTGCCACTTCTCTTGTCCATCATAACATCACGACCATCATGGAATCGTTGATGCCATTTAAAACTACAGTATGTCTAACGCAATGCTTTCTTCGCATAGTCCTGTTGAACCACTGCAAGTTTCAGAGGTCCCAAATTTCACACAAAATCTAATGTTAATGCGTTGTCTGATCTCCACTTTTACTTGCAACGAGCCAAACGATTACTAACCGGCTTTGTTTGGTGGAGCAAGTGTCCAGCTGAATCATGTATGCATATGTATGCGCAAGCATCAAGGGAAGGGATTTGAACGGTTCAAGGTCAATTTTGGTGCAAAGCGCATTCGATGACAATCATATCCATAATTTTAATAAAATCATTCCGCGAACTTCTTAGCAGGACCTCGTATGGAACAACCCAAATAACACGTTACGTTGGGCCTACATTGGATAAAGGTGGGAAACGTTGGCGGAACGTGAATGTTGGGGAACGATGTTGGCTCCATCTGGGCCCAACGTGGACATATCCACACGGTGAAAAGAACTGCAGCACTCCTGGTGGAGAACATAAAAACCTTGAAGTTCTTCTCCAGGCCACTAGATGTAGGTATGAGTCTCGCTTTTCGCACAGTACGCAAAAGTTCCCTTTCTTTTTTTCATGGAATCGTCCTTCGTAGGAATGTTTAGTACCTCGCCATATGTCTCGCCTAGTCTCATTATAGAATCAATAAACGCAGCCATTTCATAATTTTTTATCCACTTATTCAAGACGGATTCATGGAGCTCAGGCCATAAACAAGCTCATACTCCCAATGAG